AAATTTCTTCTAATGCTGTTTATCGAATGTGTTATGAAAAGAATGCTATCACGGTTTCTCTGTTTTAATTTTTATCTTCATCCATATCCGATAGCACATCAGAATTATTTACCCGATATCACCTTCGGTCAAAGTTGGTCACGTTCTAATAGAAATCCCTTTTTATTTTGCTGGAGAAAGGTGCTTTCCTTTTCTTTTTTTTTTTTTTTTTTTTTTGCTTCCTGTGATCACATGTCATGGCAATTTAGCAGCATATGTGTATATTTGAAGGGCCTTAAAACTAGAATATATCCTGACGAAATTCGGCCAGTTTTTTTAAAAAAATAAGTTTTTAAAACCTTTTGTCTTCAATATTTAGTAACAGCAGCCATTTCTAATCGGCATCATATGTACCCATTTCAAAGGCACTCAGTCACGATTGCTTTCAATCATATTCAAATTCTGTCGAGTATTTATTATTCAGAATAAGTTACTAAAGTTTGTAATCTGTTTATAGTAACAGGCATCCATATGGTACGCTGAATTGGTATAATTTGTATAAATTTCAAAGCCGTTTATGCCAGGATGCTTTGTCAAAATTCTTTAAATTGTTGTTGTGGGTTTAACGCTGTTTTTTTCAGCACTCGATATGGAATACATGGCGGCAAGAGGCGAGCTAGCAGGGTCAGTAAAGTAGTACGCTTTAGATCACTTGATCATCCAGGACTGTAGACCACTTGGCCATCCGGGGCTTTAGACCACTCAGCCATCCCAAGGCCCCCATTTCTGTAGTAAATAAGCTATATTTAATGACATATCAGCATCATTTGTATAAACTAGAAAACGTTCGATAACACGATGCTGACTGCCAGAGTTGGCTCACACTGGTTTAATGGTATTTAAAAAAAACAACAACTGAAAATAGCAATTGTTTGCGTACGCGTAAAGGACGACAGAAGCAGGGACATAAAATCAACTCACCTGGCCAGGTGATCATGAGGCCTAAAAGTAAATGTGTGATCTTTACCTTAAGTGCAAGTGGTCCGCGAGTGTCCCACAAGCTGACATCCCAAATACAAATAGAGTTCACCAAGAGGTAAAGGAAATGTAAGAAAATTAAAAGAAAAAACTGGAGAAATAAGTATTGACAATGATGCCATCACCACAGTCAAAAAAGTGACAGCTACATTTAGATTTTGAACAAACGCGAATTAATCAAAGATAAAGACTTAATGGGGATGAAGCATAAATTATGCTATTCTTATTGCGTTGATTCTTTTTGAAAGGTGTATAGTGTGATAAATCTACTGGGACTATAGTGTAATAAATCTACTGGGACTACAGTGTAATAAATCGACTATTTGGGTCCCTAGTTCTATCTAACGGTATTTGCTTTAAGTCGGCTTTTCAGAAGTGAATAAATTATGTACTCTCTGACAAATATAGAGTAACAGGGTCACAGTGATAAGGATCGAACTATAAACACGATAATGATACTTCCGTTTAAACGGCAGGTGTACTTGTTACAACTTCTCTACTGGATTTTTGAACTTTTGAACTTTTATTGATAATGTCAAGACCTCAGGAAGGGGAATGTTCTATAAAACATACTACCAATGTTAGTTTACATTCAATTTAAATCAGAGCATATGTATATTCACAGAAGAATTTTGTACCCTTACCAAATACTAATCATGCTTGGTAAAATAACATCGCATTGGGACTACACCGGCAGAAAGCAAACATCTGCATCGTTTAAATTTTTTCTCTCAATGGTTTTGTTACAGCTATCTGCTATCTGTCTCTATAGTCCGAGTGCATTTACCTTACAAAGCATGGCTAGTTTTGTAGACGTACTAAATCAATGTATAAATGTTTTATGTATCAAGTTATCTGGTACATTAAACAACAAAAAATATCAATATACATGAAGAAAAAAACCCGCAAAACACCAGCTGTCTGTTATATATATATATATATATATATATATATATATATATATATATATATATATATATATATATATATATAATATATATATATATATATATATATATATATATATATATATATATATATATATTATATATATATATATATATATATATATATATATATATATATATATATATATATATATATATCAGTTCTCTACAGTGCATTGGTTACAGTAAAAGACTAAGATTATGAGGGATTGATAACGATAACTGCATCCTGCAATAAACTGATGATGAAGAGTGGATAACTAGTTTTTAATTAGCCAATGTGCCTTTTACTCTCACTGAGTCTTTGTCGAATATAATCACAAAATCGAGGCAAACAAAAGAAACAATAAACGCAATTAAAAGTTTATTTAGGTTCACACACACATACACACACACGCACGCACGCGCGCGCGGGTGCAGAAATTAACTTCATGTTCTGGCAACCTTTGGAATTCCTGGTCATCTACGTTTTGTTGCGTGTGAGGATGAGTTATTGTTCTATGCAATGAGTTCTGAATGAAGTTTTCGATGTGATAAGTGTGAAAGCTGTGAAAGTGCATTATGTCACAGCAGTTGATTAGACATCCTACATTTCACGTGATGAAGACTCAAATTGTTTGGAGTCCTAGAGGATTATGTAACCTCATATGCAAATGGTTCACATAGTGATTAGGCAATAACTGCATGGTTCACATAGTGATTAGGCAATAACTGCATGGTTCACATAGTGATTAGGCAATAACTGCATGGGTCACATAGTGATTAGGCAATAACTGCATGGGTCACATAGTAATTAGGCAATAACTGCATGGGTCACATAGTGATTAGGCAATAACTGCATGGGTCACATAGTGATTAGGCAATAACTGCATGGTTCACAGTGATTAGGCAATAACTGCATGGGTCACATAGTGATTAGGCAATAACTGCATGGGTCACATAGTGATTAGGCAATAACTGCATGGGTCACATAGTGATTAGGCAATAACTGCATGGGTCACATAGTGATTAGGCAATAACTGCATGGGTCACATAGTGATTAAGCAATAACTGCATGGGTCACATAGTAATTAGGCAATAACTGCATGGGTCACATAGTGATTAGGCAATAACTGCATGGTTCACATAGTGATTAGGCAATAACTGCATGGTTCACATAGTGATTAGGCAATAACTGCATGGGTCACATAGTGATTAGGCAATAACTGCATGGGTCACATAGTAATTAGGCAATAACTGCATGGGTCACATAGTAATTAGGCAATAACTGCATGGTTCACATAATTATGAAACAATACCTACATGGTTCTCAAAGTTATTAGCCAATACGTGCATGATTCTCAAAGTGATTAGCCAATACGCGCATGGTTCGCATAGTGATTATACAATAACATTATGGTTCAGATAGAGATAAGACAATAACAACGTGTTTCGCAAAGTAATTAGAGCATAATTGCAGGGTTCATGTAGTGATTAGATAATAACTGCTTGGTTAAATTTAGTGATTAGACAATAAAGGCATGGTTCAGGTAGTGACTAGACAATGAATGCACGGTTTATCTAGACACTAGACTGTGAATGTATGGTTCTTGTAGTGATTAGACAATATTGCGTGGTTCAGGTAGTGATTGGACAATAACAGCATTTTTCAGATAGTGATTAGAAAATAAATGCGTGGTTCATATAGGGATTAGACAATAATCACATGGTTTATTTAAGTAGTGATTAGGCAATGAATGCATGGCACAGATAGTGATATGTCCCAGTTAGAAATTTAAAATTATGTTTCATACATGCATGGAATGACTTGTATAAGAATATGCGAAATACATTTCTTGTGTGTTAAGTATTTACATTATCCACTGAAGTTGAACAATATTTATTAACATAGACATTACTACACAACAGTACGGAGGAATACGCAACAGAGTAAAACAGTTTATGGTACATGCCTAAGTATATGTATTATAATTTCATTTTGTTAGTGAAAATATTATTATGTCATTAAAAGCTATAATAAAATATGGCATTTTGGGGAGGTATAAATGAATACCATTACATCATGAAATTTGCAATATGGACAAAATTTATTTCTAAAATATATATCTCTAGTGGTCCAATGCTTGTCCAACCAACCAGTTCTGCCCCGATAGAAAGGTTTCAAAATATCATCCTTTTGGTTGCGAGTCCGATACGTTAATTAATCGCCTCTTACGACTTGCAACATGGCATTCAACATTCAAAGGGAATCAGAGGGGCCCCGGGTAGTAGAGTTGTTAAGGGAATCTTTACACATTTTTGTCTTGGTTGGTTCGACTCTAGGCTTGACCGAAGCATATATGTGAGAAAGATTGCCAGTAGTTTCCCAAGGGTCAGTGGTTTTTCTGAGGGCCTTCCCAGGCTTTGTTTCCACCAAATATACCGGGAACCATGTATTGCATGCCATGTACTGAAAAATGGCATTAAAACCAAGAAAACCGAAACAAACCATAGGCCATCAGAACAAATAATGCACCAGTCAATCACCTATGAAATTACAAGTTATATCATTCAATCGATTCTAGAGTTATGAGTCGCGTCAGCCAATCGCCTCCAGAATTACAAGTTATATCATTTAATCGCCTCTACAGTTACGAATTTCATCAGCCAATCGCCACTAGAGTCAAAACACGCATCATTCAATCGCGCCAAGAGTTACAAGTCATTCAGTCGTAAAACATGGCTTAGGCTACACGTTTTAAGTTTCAGTTCTTTTGGGAATCACGCCCATAAAATATGTAAAATAAGAAGATTAAAAAATTGAAACATGGATGATTTAACGTAGCTCTACCAATTTTCCAGTCACATCGCTACGATATCTGTAATGTGGCAGTTTATAGTTATGTCCAGTACTGGGGCATGTCCAACCCCGCCACATTATCAAGATACCTGGTAGACCAGTCCTAACACTAACCTATTAATGCTGAGCACCAAGCGAGGCAGCTGCTGGTACCATTTTATAAGCCTTTGGTATGACTTTTTTTTAAGCCTTTGGTATGACTCGGCCGGGGCTCAAACCCGCGACCTCCTGCATCCGATCCGAGGCGGAAACTCTAACCACTTAAGCCACCTGAGCGGTCACAAATGTTATAAACATCCAATTATATGATTAGAGCATTGTGCTAAATTTCGTTTCCTGTACTTGTGCATTTCTTCAAAAACTGAAGGATTCGTTTTACTGTATACCAGTGTCAACTGGTGACCATGCCCAGCTATTTTACATATCCTAAATAAAACATATGAAAGAATACCGCATGGTAGCCATTATCACGTCATCAGGTTGACCACATGAGGATTATACCGATTGTTGTGGTCATAGTTGTGGATATACTGCTCTCTTGGCTGACAGATTAATGACCAAATGTAAGAGCATCTGACCACGAAATCCGGGTCAATATGAAGTTTTCTCTTCAAATACAGCTTATTACACACAGTTATAACACTTGTTTCAAAGTATCTCAAGTATTTGTTTTTCATTTTTTAAAATGTTATTTTCATTCATATTCCGCACATTAGTATCATCTAATATTAAAAGTAAAGTATAACATCACGACTTTTTTATGTACCACGTGATAAAGCCTTCTGTCAAATACAAAGTCTGCTGAATGCTTTTCGAAAAGTAAATTAAAGAACCTTCTGTTGTAGTAATGGCGACCATATCCAATGGCGGATTACATCACTTGCACGAACTAAAAGTCCTTTAATGGCAGACTGTTTCTGTCAGTCATTTTCTGAGAAAAAGGCGTTGATCGTATTTTCGGCTTTTAGTAGCAGTGGTTGTATTTGACAGCAGATTGGCTACACAAGTGAAAACCCATGAAACCATGGTGGGTTGTGTTTTGGTCAAATTTGGTTAAATTCTGTTGAGCCGCTTTTGAAACGTCGTTAAAAGGTTTTCTTTCTCTACTTTTAGAAAAAGCAACCAGACATAATGACCGATAAGAATAATTTGTAAAAAATTAAAGCCATTTATGTATGTTATGATGCTTTCTGTCAACTTGTCTCAAATTCTGTTTAGTGCTTTTACTAAAGAATATATATATATATATATATATATATATATATATATATATATATATATATATAGTGTCATTTGTGGAAAATAGCTTTTTGGCACAAAACTAAAACCTGTGCCAAGATGATTTCTGTCTTATCTGCTGTGCAATTTTTAATACCGAATTATTTAATAATTTTTAACGTATTTATTAAATGCGCCCATACTTCATGGTGGATCTGTTCATTGTATAACGAAAGTCATCTGTGTTTTGGTCTTTCTGTCAAATTTCCTCAAATGTGTTTTTTCTTCTAATTTTAGCAACATTGGTCATTTTCTGGATCCTCCCCTGGTAGAGCTCTAACGACATTACATTAGAAGAAGACATGGTTTTCTTGTCTGAGTGGTTTGACTTCTTCACACACTTGCACCAATATTTGATAGTCACGGATGCGTGAAGCCACTGTTAAAGTTCCCACTACATTCTACCTACTCGTGACCAAGAGATTGCCTTAGAAAAGTTTCGACAGTCACAGAAACGAGAGCTATTAGCAATGGATGCACTACAGTGTGGAACGTTTTGCACGACCACTGGAACACGAAACTATTCCGTTTATATGTGAACGATTCACTTGCATGCCATAACTAACAAAATATGTCAACAATGTTTTGTTTTCGTTTTAGATATTGATAGGAAACGGTAATTTTGTCCGTAAGTCCGAAACAAATATTTTCATAATAATTCAGATTACTTGTCAAAATTACCAAAAATATAAATGCCTGTCTGCCAAGGTTTCTAGTCAAATTTTGACTGAACAACAGCTGCAGCCTGTAACTTTTACTTCTGCTAGACGAGGTGTGTCACGAAATACGGACCGATACTATGCTCTACATTTTCCATAAATCAAATGAGATTAATGTTATCAATTTACATTAACCCTTCCATATCGGAGTTCAACCTTGTTCTGTTACAAAACATCAGTTGTATAATTATATAGACTAAAACGTTACACAATGTGTAGTCCGTGACAACACTTTATTTTATTCTGACGTATACAAAAATCTCACCGCAGAGAAATGGCGCCTAAACTAGCAAATTCAGTGACGCAGAATTTGCAAGTAAAGCATGATTTCTTGATTTGTTCCTTCATTATTTATGTGCGGTTCAAATACATTGAACTTACTAAACAAACATAATATGCGGACTGTTGATGATGCTGTTGTTGTTATTGTGTTTCAAGCCAGTGGCACTCGCACCACGCAAGAGCCATCTCAAAAGCTACTAAAATGACCACTGCTGACAGACTAGTGCTGTGCCATAACTGCCAATATTTTCCTCTTTTGGACCCCCCCACTTTGGCAAGCTAACTGCCTTATTTATCGTTTAAACGGAACGCTGTTTATTTGTAAACCGTTACAAGGGCAAGCACCCAACGATTTCATTTAAACGTATAAATATGACAGCCTTTGAAAAAAAAAACCTATTTACTATAGTTTGCCTTGCAGGACTTCAAACGTAAATTTTGTGGGTACATAAGTTGTATCCAATAATATTGGGTTATACCACTATAACATAAGAGACCAAAGTGGGGCTGATCCTGATAGTACTCACATGGCTTTCGTTACTTAACAGTTGACCATTTCACCAAGCAGGATATGTAGTACTGTTGGAATACAACCCCTTTTAAACTATCTCCCAAATTTACCATTTTAATTTTACTAATTTTACTATAGTTCGATAAACATTACTTTTAAAGACAAAAGTATGAATTTTATATGCATAAGTTCTTGCTCTAAACCTGAATTCTCCAAGAGCTTAATAATATTAACCTATTAAACAAGTTGTATTCGCAGTATATGAAAAATATAGGCACTTCATGCGGAGAGATCTGATTGTGATCAAACCTGGCGCTAGTCTCAGTCAGCATTAAACTGGACGAGTTTAATTATAGGCATGACGTAAGCAGCCCACGATATGGCAAGACATCACGTTAACAAATTGCCAGATTATGTAATGTGCTTGGATTGTTAGAAGAAAATTATAATCAATCACAAATTGTATACAATACCTAATGCAAAAAAAAAAAAAACGGCTCCTGCAGGATCAAGCTTGCAAGGTGCATGCCAGTTGGTTTGTAAAAAACATGATAGGTCGTGCACAATTCAAATTGATTATGTTCTGCAAGGTGCATACTCCTCGAATATCAGCACATTTGTTTAGCACTGACACGTAACGCTTTTTTATGACCCGTCATTTCATCTCGTGATCCATTCCATCACGATGCCTTGTTAAAGTGTCACTTGCAACTTGTTCTCAATGTCAAGGTTTGTCACTTCCGTCTTCTTGTCAGTACCAGGGTCTGCCTCGCTAAAGAGTAGTATATATATATATATATATATATATATATATATATATATATATATATATATATATATATATATATATACATACTTTAATATGTTTTCAGATCATTTTAATTGTACAATTTATAAGACGACTGGAATTTCCAACCTTTACATCCTAAATTTCCACGTTTCCTGACTATTCCCGAGTACGAGGTTTCAACGGATCGCCTATTTCTGAAGATGTACTTTAAATGCACGTATTAAACCAACCATAAATCGTATAATGTTCGAATAATGTATATAGGCATTACAGTAAACAATCTTTAAAAATCTAGGATAAATCAGACAACTGTATCTCAATGTGCTCTCAAATTGCAGTAATCTGCTCCATTTTTAATACTTGTTTTTCTGCTACATTTACTTGTGGATGATTAGCAGAGAGAGATAAGTTTGTTAGCTTTACCTGCACGCTGAACACATTGGCTAGATAATGCTATGAAAATGGAAGCTGTGTGTCATTTCTAAGGACATTAAAGAAGGTAGAGATCTCAATGATTTAATTCATACATTTAATTGTCTGCATCCGCTTTACAAAATAAAATGAATATTATAATATTGTCAAATCATACACCAAAGCAATAACATGTATTCACAATACGTCTCTACGTTCGTTCTGATTAACAGCGCTTGTGCCACCAAGTAGGTAATAATCGGTATTACTGTTAATACTCTTTAAATTGCTACAGCAAGAAAATTTTGTACATGATGTACAGTGCCTTCCAAGATGAATATACCCGTACAGTTTCATGACTTATCAACTAATAGTGCCTGAGAACTGTAGCTAACTGGAACAACAAAAGTAGGTCACTGTTACATACTGTAACCTGTGGTAAATAGCACCCTCCATAATTAAAGGAAACCAGAAATAACTTTTCCTTTTATGTATGTAATTATCTACAAATTTTAATTCAACTGTAATGTTTGTAAATTAAATATCGTAGGTGGGTATTGACTATACCGCACGGAAGATACCACGATTCCGTAAATGCCGAGTTTTTCCAAATTTTGATGAGGACAGATCACATGGTCCCGTGACACAATACTAGCTAGTCCTCGAATACAAACAGAAACATGGCGAGAAGACCTACGGAGGAGACCAGATTTGGGTTGCACATTCAAAAGTTGAATCTGCTTCAGAGATATGCTCATAAATATATCTGTTGAACTGTATCTTAACAATATGTTTAAGACTTGAAAGCAGAAAAGTACAACAGTAAGAAGGTGCTCATATTTCATATTTTGGAATTTTAAAAAGCAATATATTTTAATATAAATATTTATACGTTGTGTGCTGTGCAAAGATGTGATAAGGATTAAGTAATGGTGCCCAATGTAAAAATTAAAAATTTACCACAGTGCAATAAATTCATTTAAGATGGATGAGGTTCAATCGTATTATATGTAAATGACATATTTACAGCCAACCCCTCCCACACACCACGGCACCAACGAACTAATATCTTGAAAACATACATCCAATACTGAAACTGCGATAATACTGAATTCAGGGCGAAGAGACAAAAACGGGGACGACTGTTCGGTTTGGTTGGAAATTATAGTCCTATATGAATCCCGCCTGACGATTCTTTAAGCCTCTTACGAGGCCAGAGATTCCCTTCCAGAAGGCCGAGAACTCCAATAGCCCCCTATGTGGTTGGCCGTCAGCCCGGGTCCACATGG